AACATTTTATTTTTTGGATGAAGTTTCACTCTGTCGCCAGGCTGGAATGCAGTGGCACAATCTCGGCTCACTGCAACCTCCGCCTCCTGGGTTCAGGTGATTATTCTGCCTCAGCCTCCCGTGTAGCTGGGACTACAGGTGCACACCACCACGCCCAGCTAATTTTTGTATTTTTAATGGAGACACCATGCTGGCCAGGGTGGTCTTGATATCTTGACCTTGTGATCCGTCTGCCTTGGCCTCCCAAAGTGCTGGGATTACAGGCGTGAGCCACTGCACCCAGCCAACAAGTACTTTTTTAAAAAAAAATTTAAGCTCATGTCTTTTTTTATTTTTTGAGACGGAGTCTCTGTTACCCAGACTTGAGTGTAGTAGTGCGATCTCGGCTCACTGCAACCTCCGCCCTCAGAGTTGAAGCAATCCTCCTGCCTCAGCCCCCCGAGTAGCTGGGACTACAAGCGCCCGCGACCACACTTGGTTAATTTTTGGTATTTTTAGTAGAGACGGGGTTTCACCATCTTGGTCAGGCTGGTCTTGAACTCCTGACCTTGTGATCCACCCACCTTAGCCTCCCAAAGTGCTGGGATTACAGGCAAGCTCATATCTTAAGTCTTAGTCCATTTGGGCTCCTATAAGAACATACTGTAAACCGGTCGGGCCCGGTCATCCTGCCCTGTGACTGGATGACCTCCCAAATGCCCCACCTAATACCATCCCCTTGCAGGTGAGGACTTGAGCAGGTGGGTTTTGGGGGCACGTGTTCAGGCCACAGCAGGGTGGATGAAGAGCTAGTGAGCCTTACTGAGCTCCTCTGGTCAGTCAGATCTGACATTAAGCCCAGCATTGAAGATCAAGGCAGGTGTGGCTTTGGGATGTGAAGTGGGTTCTGACGCGGGGCCCCACAGACCTGTCCCCGAGTGAGCCGCCTGCAGGCCCGTGTCATTCCTCAGCTGCGTGCAAAGTCTCTGGCTCAGAGAGCCTCCCCGCTGTGCCCAGTTCTCTCTCTGCCAGGGCAGGGCTTGGGGCAGCACCAGGCTGGGGCAGAGGATGAAAGCAAGAGGACCGAACTTCTGGAAGGGCAGCGGAGGGCGGCTGAGGATTTCCCCATGTACCAGTGTGTGTTCATCTACCCACGAGGAATAAAACCATGCAGCTCCACACAGATGGTGCCCGGTGTTCACAGCAGAACTGCTCATGATAATGGATAAGTTGTTTTCATACAATGGGTTGTCAATGTTTAGTAATCATTGGTATCAGTAAGAGTAATGTATCCATATGGAGGATTATTTGACTATTAAAAAGGAATGAATTTTTTTTTTTTTTTTTTTTTTTTTTTGAGACAGAGTCTCGCTCTGTCGCCCAGGCTGGAGTGCAGTGGCGCGATCTCAGCTCACTGCAAGCTCCGCCTCCTGGGTTTACGCCATTCTCCTGCCTCAGCCTCCCGAGTAGCTGGGACTACAGGCGCCCGCCACCGTGCCCGTTTTTTTTTTGGATTTTTTAGTAGAGACGGGGTTTCACCGTGTTAGTCAGGATGGTCTCGATCTTCTGACCTCGTGATCCGCCCGTCTTGGTCTCCCAAAGTGCTGGGATTACAGGCTTGAGCCACCGCGCCGGGCCAGAATGAAGTTATTTTTAATAGGGTCTTGCTATATTGCCCTGGCTGGAGTGCATTGACTATTCGCAGATGCAGTTACTGCTCATCGCAGCCTTGAACTGGCCTCAAGTAATCCTCCCACCTCAGCCTCCCCAGTAGACGAGACTGCAGGACACACCACCGTGCCCAGCTAGGAGTGAAGCTCTTTTACGTTCTGTGATGTGGGCGGACCCGGACAGAATGCTGAGTGAAAGAAGCCTGTCTAAAAAGGCCTGTGCCTTGTGATTCCATTTTTGTGAAATATCCAGAAAATGTAAGTCAGAGAGAAAGTAGATTGTTTGAGGCTGGGAATGGGGACAAACAGGTTTGAGATTTCATTTTGGGGTGATGGTTTCACAGTTCTAAGGTGACTGAATTATAGGGGCAAGTGGGTGAACTTGGTGTTTGCAAACGACACTCACAAACGTAGTCACATCCCCAGAGCCCCGTTCTGCTGGGTCTCTTTGGAGATACTGGTGCTGTTAATCTTTGGGAGCCACAGGACCTTTGATGTCCTCTTAGGACTTAGCCTGTTGACGGGCTCAGAGGCAGAGGCCTGACCTACTGTGGGAAGCCTTGAAGGATAGGAGGGACTCCTCAGCAGTGAAGGTTGGTGTGGGGAAGAGCCCTGCACTGGTTTTGATCAGGGGCACTGGCAGTCCAGCTGCCTCCCTGGCCTGCTGCTCTGCCCCAGGGTTGTCCCCTCTGCACCCTGGATGGGCCAGGCGTGCCCAACCCAGGTTGGAACTGAGGAGAGGCGGCCAGATGCCTGGTGTAAGGCAGGGTAGCTTGTTTCAGGTTCAGGGTGAGAAGCTGCAGCTCCATCCTACGGCCCAGTGCTGTCCCTGCTTTTGGAGGGGTGGGGGCAAGTCCAGAAGCTGCTCCAGACCCTAGTAAATGGGGGCTCAATGAACCCTCTTTGCAGTGCCTGGTATCGCTGGAGCCAGGAAGGACCAACCTGCAATCTGCAAAAAGGCATGGGGCACATGGGTCTAGACCTGGCAGAGGCTTTCAGGGAGGGGAGGAGGAAGGGGCTGCCCTAGAGTCGTGGGGAGGTCCCCTGCTGACCTCTGGGTGGGGCCCAGGGCAGTCCTTGGATCACTGGCAAGGCTGGACTTTCAGGCCCACAACTGGGAGGTTGGACAGGTGTGGGTCCAGGAGCCCCCTTGCCTTGTTCTCCCTGCAGCCTGACCAAGACTCTCTGTGGCAGTCACCCTGTAATGCTTCTGGGAACAGAGGGACCACCCCATAGACCACCAATCTCTCATCCCACCAAGCCCTTCATAGTGCAGTCCATTGCATTCAAACTCCAGTTGACGAACTATTTGCAGGGCTGATCTGCTGCACTGGGTTTCAGGTTCGGGTTAGGATCCATAAAGGTGGCCGGGTGCAGTGGCTCACACCTGTAATCCCTGCACTTTAGGAGGCTGCAGCAGGAGGATCACATGAGCCCAGAAATTTGAGACCAGCCTAGGTAGTGTGGTGAGACCCCATCTCTACAAAAAATAGAAAATTAGCCATGCATGGTGGTGCACACCTGTAATCCCAGCTACAGGCAGGAGGATCAGTTGAGCCTGGGAGGTGGGCTACAGTGAGCCAAGATTGCACCACTGCACTCCAGCCTGGGTAACAGAGTGAAAGCCCTGTATTGAAAAATGGGGACCGGGCATGGTGGCTCATGCCTGTAATCCCAGCACTTTGGGAGGCCGAGGCGGGCAGATCATGAGGTCAGGAGATCGAGACCACGGTGAAACCCCGTCTCTACTAAAAATACAAAATTAGCCAGGCATGGTGGCCTGCGCCTGTAGTCCCAGCTACATAGGAGGCTGAGGCAAGAGAGTAGGCTGAGGCAGGAGAATCTCTTGAACCCAGGAGGCGGAGGTTGCAGTGAGCCCAGATCACACCACTGCACTCCAGCCTGAGTGACAGACCAAGACTCCATCTCAAAAAAAAAAAAAAAAGACCGGGCATGGTGGCTCATGCCTGTAATCCCAGCACTTTGGGAGGCCGAGGCGGGTAGATCACCTGAGGTCAGGAGTTCAAGACCGGCTTGGCCAAAATGGTGAAATCCAGTCTCTACTAAATATACAAAAATTAGCTAGGCGTGTGGCAGGCACCTGTAATCCCAGCTACTCAGGAGGCTGAGGCAGGAGAATTGCTTGAACCCAGGAGGCGGAGGCTGCACTCCAGCCTGGGTGACAGAGTGAGACTCCGTCTCAAGAAAAAAAAAAAAAAGAAAAACGAAAACAGGGAGAAGCAGACGCAGTGGTCCCAGCACTTTGGGACCCCAAAGCAGGGCACATCACTTGAGATCAGGAGTTTGAGACCAGACTGGCCAACATGGCGAAACCCCGTTTCTACTAAAAATAAAAAAATTAGCCAGGTATTGTGGCGGGCACCTGTCATCCCAGCTACCCAGGAGGCTGAGGCAGGAGAATCTCTTGAACCCAGGAGGCGGAGGTTGCAGTGAGCCCAGATCACACCACTGCACTCCAGCCTGAGTGACAGACCAAGACTCCATCTCAAAAAAAAAAAAAAAAACGCCGAGCGCGGTGGCTCATGCCTGTAATCCCAGCACTTTGGAAGGCCGAGGCAGGTGGATGACTTGAGGTCAAGAGTTCAAGACCAACCTGGCCAACATAGTGAAACCCTGTCTTGACGGGCATGGTGGCAGGTGCCTGTAATCCCAGCTGCTTGTGGGGGCTGAGGTAAGGAGAATCGCTTGAAACTGGGAGGCAGAGGTTGCAGGGAGATTGCACCACTTCCTGGGTACATTCCAGCCTAGGTGACAGAATGAGATTATCTCAAAAAAAATGGGGGTGGCGACTTGAAGGCCAGTGGCTGGTGCATGTGCTGCCCCCACAAGGTGGCACCATGACCCCATGCAGGAACCTGGCATCTCATGCAAGGTCTCGGCCATAACAGGTCAGAAGGGGGGCAGGGGGCATGGGCAGTGCAGCCTTGACACGGAATAGGAGGCCCAGGCCCTCAAAAGCAGGAGGGAGGGTGTGGCTGGGACTGCTCCTCTGGGAGGCATCCACATGTGCCCACGCTTGGAGGCTTGAGACTGCTTTAGTGTCCATTTGTGGCCCACCTGGGACAGCACCTTGGGAGCTCCTGGCATCAGAAGCCTGCCCTTTGCCTAACTCCAGTGCACCCTACAGGCCTCAGGGCTCAGGAGGGGCCCCCCCATCAAAGGCCTCCCAGCAACAACCCTGACTTGGGTTCCCAGGTGGTGGCCCAGGCAGTGGGTTGTGTCTGGAGTACCCTGACCCCGACCCCATCTCTGAAGTCCTAACCTGGGTCACAGCCCGTCACAGCTGGGGCAAGTGATGCTTAGGGGATGGAGACAGTGAATGAAACAGCACAGGAAAAGTGACTGCTTTAATGTATTAGGCAAAATTTTACATAAAATCAGAAATCTATGATCTGTCCCTGCTCCAATTTGTAAAAAACGCAAGATTCATGAGAAGCCATGTGCAGTCAGACCCCAGCTGGCCGACGGTGCAGATCTGGAGTCCACCCTCAGGATTGCACTACTTTCCGTTCTCTGCATTGAACATTTGTTCCTAGAAACAAACACAGCATGAGCTGTGTCTCCCAACCCTGCCTTCTGCACCCTGAAGCCCCATGTGGAAGGAGGGAGACCCTTGTGGGGTCTGCACTCTGTGTGGGCCACGGCCACAGGCTGGCCAACACCACAGTCACCACACAGGCCAGAGAGGAGCCAGGACCCACCAAGCATCCCGGGGGCAGCCCTGGGTGCCATGCACCCTCCACCCTGGGATGGCCTCAGCAGGCCCCGCTTGCTGGGCAGCATGTGAATGAGACCTGGGGTCTCACGGAAGTTTTAACTCTGCCCAGCTTGAACCCCGACATCCAGGCCCGGGCTCTCATGGGGCTTGGCGCATGTGGCCCCCCCACACACAACACTCACTGTCAGCATCCGCTCCAGCTTCACTGCGTCAGCGGCAAACTTGCGGATCCCGTCAGAGAGCTTCTCCACAGCCATCTGGTCCTCGTTGTGCAACCAGCGGAAAGACTTCTCATCCAGGTGGATTTTTTCCAGGTCACTGGCTTGGGCTACAGGACAAGACCCAGCCTTCCATACCTGCCCCACGTCCCTGCCCACCTTGGCCCCTTGGGCTCAGGGCCTGAACCCGCTGCACCCAAGCATCTTCCACCAGGGCCAGGCCTCAGCCCCAGCAAGGCTCATGCTGGAAGTGGGGTTCAGCCCACAGAGCCTCGGCTGACGCCTTTAGTGAGACATGTTAGTAAAGCCAAGCCCTCTACTGAGGTCTACTTCACCCTAATGTCTCCCGAGATGTGCTTGCCCCACAGGGGGGAGGGATCACCCACAGGGCAGCGTGGCAGGGCGGTGTTGGCCTTGCCCAAGCAGCAGCCACAGCTGGGCAGTGGGGACTCACCCGCCTTGGCTGAGAGCACAGGCACCAGCTTGGCGTTGTCCTGGAGCAGCTCTCCCAGGAGCTTGGGTGAGATGGTGAGGAAGTCACAGCCGGCCAGTGCTTTGATCTCGCCCGTGTTGCGGAAGGAGGCGCCCATGACAATGGTTTTGTAGCCAAACTTCTTGTAGTAGTTGTAGATTTTAGTGACACTCTTTACCCCTGGAAAGAAACCAAGCTGTGACCAGGAAGGCTTCAGCAGAGGTACCACCCCACCTGCCCTCCCAATGCCTGCTGTCTGCACTACCTTGAGCCACCACCCCTGCCTGCCCGCGCAGACCTGTGCACCTCACTGCTTTTTGATGCGGCAGCTCCATCTCGGGCTCTTCCTACCTGAGGTGCTGCTGAGGCTGCTCCCCTTACCCCATTACCTCAGAGGGACCCTCACCAGGGTCTTCCAGGGGCTCGTAGGATTTCTTGTCGGTGTTTGCCACATGCCAATCAAGGATGCGCCCAACAAATGGGGAGATGAGGGTCACACCCGCCTCGGCACAGGCCACAGCCTGGGCGAAGGAGAAGAGTAGCGTCATGTTGCAATGGATGCCGTGCTGCTCCTCGAGCTCCCTGTGGGGCGGGGGCAGGTGAGTGCAGGCCAGGTGCCCACCCAGAGCCAAGGCTGCCAAAGATGCTCACGGGCCTTAAACTGAATCGGCAGGAACAGGCTCATGCCATTGTTAAGAACAAATCTGTAACACTCAAAGAGGGTTCTAAATGGATAGTGGGTTATGGGTGACCAGAATTTTCTCCAACCCACATTACACAACAGACAAAGGCAAGGGAGGCCCTCTGGGTGCCCGTGCTCTTGCGCCAGGCCAGCACCTCATTCCAGAACTCACCAGGGCTCAGCTCCCAGGCTAGAACCACTGGGTTGTCTCTGACCACATTCCAGTCCTCACCCTGTTCCACCCTAGCCATTCCTGGGGCCACCCCGCAGCAGACCCATAGCACCCTGGTTTCTGCTGAGAGGAGCCCCTTGGCCACACTTGGCCCCTTGCCCAAGTCCCAGTGCACTTTGGACATCCTGGGGTTGATCCCCAAGGACAGGGCAGTGCCCATACTTTGCCATGTGGCTGGGGCATGGGATGAGACAGCCAAGACTCTGCTCAGGCACCTCCAGACACAAGTTCCCTCCCCAGGCGCCTCTGCCACATGGCCACACGGGGTTGTTCAAGGGGGACAGCAGATGGCACAGCTGAGTTGGGAAACAGCCTGCAGTTCCTCCAGCAGTCACCCAGAGACTCCACTCCTAGGCATACGCCCACGAGAAACAAAAACCTGTCCAGGACAAAACTTGCACATCTGTGTTCACAGCAGCAGATGTGTTCATAGATGTGTTCATAGCAGCAGATGTGTTCAAAGCAGCAGTATACATCACAGCCCGAGAAATGGAAACCGACCGCAGCACTATACATCACAGCTCAAGAGGTGGAAACCGACCAGGTGTCCATCAACAGATGAGTAACTGGCCTATCCACAAAATGGAGTATTTTTCAACATATAGAAACAAATGGGCCGGGTGTGGTGGCTCACACCTGTCATCCCAACACTTTGGGAGGCCGAGGCAGTGGATCACCTGAGGTTGGGAGTTCGAGACCAGCCTAACATGGAGAAACCCCATCTCTACTAAAAATACAAAATTAGCTGGGTGTGGTGGCGCCTGCCTGTAATCCCAGCTACTCGGGAGACTGAGGCAGGAGAATCACTTGAACCTAAGAGGTGGAGGTTGCAGTGAGCTGAGATAGCACCACTGCACTCCAGCCTGGACGAGAGCGAAACTCCATCTCAAAAAAAACCCCAAAAAAACCACAAATGAGGCCAGGCACAATGGCTCATGCCTGTAATCCCAGCACTTTGGGAGGCCAAGATGGGTAGAGATCTCTTGAGCCCAGGGATTCGACACCAGCCTGGGGAACATGGTGAAATTACCCAGGAGTGGTGTGCGTGTTGTCGTCCCAGCCACTTGGGGGACTGAGATGGAAAGATCACTTGAGCCTGGAGTCAAGGCTGTAGCGAGCTGAGTTCGTGCCACTGCACTCCAGCCGTGGTGAAAAAGTGAGATGCTATCTCAGAGCCGGTCAGTGATGGCACGTGGTAGAACATGTAAACACACAGATGTGGAAACAAAACACTTCTTCCTGATGTGAATTATTTGAGTGTAGCGTTGGCTGCTCCTGGGTGAGAACATCATACAGGAGTTTTACTTTGTTTTACACATTTTCTGTCTCTTCCACTCTGAACATACATACGTTTGGTTTGGTTTTTCTGAGACAGGGTCTCACTCTGTCACCCAGGCTGGAGTGCGGTGGTGCGATCACAGCTACTGGAACCTCAACCTCTTGCTCAGGCGATCCTCCCGCCTCAGCCTCCTAAGTAGCTGGAATCACAGGTGTGTGCCATCACACCTGGCTAATTTTTTTTTTTTTTCAGATGGAGTCTCACTCTGTCACCCATGCTAGAGTGCAGTGGCGCAAACTCGGCTCACTGCAAGCTCTGCCTCCCGGGTTCACGCCATTCACATGTCTCAGTCTCCCGAGTAGCTGGGACTACAGGTGCTTGCCACCACGCCCGGCTAATTTTTATATTTTCAACAGAGACAGGGTTTCACCGTGTTAGCCAGGATGGTCTCCATCTCCTGACTTCATGATCTGCCTGCCTTGGCCTCCCAAAGTGCTAGGATTACAGGCGTGAGCCACCACGCCTAGCCTAAAATTTTTTTATATTTTTGTAGAGACAAGGTTTCACTTCGTTGCCCAGGCTGGTCTGGAACTCCTGGGCTCAAGTGATCCTCCCATCTCAGCCTCCCAAATTGCTGGGATTATAGGCACTAGCCATCTTGCCCAGGCAGCATATATTTTATATAACAATAGTTTACTTTTTAAAAATCATGTAAATACAGGCTTGTGTTGATCAGGACAGAGGAATGAAAGAATCTGCAGGTGTTAACTAGTGGCTTTTCTTCTCTGCTGGGTGGGTGGATGGTACTTGCTGGGAAATCCCTCATTTTTGATCACCAGCAAGTGAGGGAGCTGGCTCTGGAGCAGAGCGCAGATCTAGGTTGACATCAGCTGGTCAAGTCCAAGCTGTGGGCTGTGCTCCCCAGTCTGGCATTCCCCAGGGCTGAGAGAGTCAAACTTGCCTGATGCCATGTAGACCTTGCCCCAACAACAGGGGAAAAATCTCTGAAAGCTCCTTCCTTGTGGGGTCCACTTACTTTCCAGCCTGAATTCCTTCCCAGGTTGATGACAGCTTTATAAGAATTCGGTCCTTGCTGATCCCAGCTTCCTTATAGAGCTCGATGAGCCGCCTGGCTCTGGCCACCATCGCATCTTTATCAAAGGAGAGCCTGTAGGAGCAAGAAGAACCCATCCCCTCAGATCATGCAGGCTGCCCAACAAGCAGAGCAAGGTGGAGGCCGGGTGTCGGCCCAAGTCAGTTTTGAGCTGCACCACCGTAAGCACCAACCACTGCCCTCAACCTTCCCCTCACTTGAGGTTTGCAGAATGGCTGTGACAGCAACTCACACCCAGTCTCACAAAGGTCCTCAGTGGGATCCATAGGCTATAATTTGTATTAAAAAACACTAGGCCGGGCACGGTGGCTCATGTCTATAATCCCAACACTTTGGGAGGCTGAGGGGGGAAGATCATGAGGTCCAGAGATCAAGATCTTCCTGGCCAACATGGTGAAACCCTGTCCCTACCAAAAATACAAAAAAATTAGCCGGGTGTGGTGGCGTGCATCTGTAGTCCCAGCTACTTGGGAGGCTGAGGCAGGAGAATTGCTTGAACCTAGGAGGCGAAGGTTGCAGTGAGCTGAGATCGCGCCACTGCACTCCAGCCTGGCGACAGAGCGAGACTCTGTCTCAAAAAACAAACAAATAAAACAAATCAAAACAAAAAACACTAGTGGCCGGGCACAGTGGCTCATGCCTGTAATCCCAGCACTTTGGGAGGCCAAGGTGGGTGGATCATGAGGTCAGGAGTTCAAGACCAGCCTGGCCAAGATGATGAAACCCCGTCTCTACTAAAAATACAAAAAATTATCTGGGCGTGGTGGCGAGTGCCTGTAATCTCAGCTACTTGCCAGGCTGAGGCAGAGAAATGCTTGAACCCAGGAGGCAGAGGTTGCAGTGAGCTGAGATTGCACCACTGTATTCCAGCCTGGGTGACAGTGCAAGACGCCATCTCAAAAATAAATAAATAAATAAAAATAAAAATAAAAAACACTAGAGATCAGTTGCTAAACAAGGAGCTCTTGGTCATCAGTACCAACTGTGGGAAAGCTCAGAATAAACCTCTTGGGCCCCTGGGATGGAGACTATGGGTGCAGCAGCCCCTTGACCTCACGTTGACATCCACGTGTGCAACTGTGGACACCTGACCAGCCTGTCCAGCGCAGGAGCAAGCATCCTTACCTTGCATCTACTTCTGTGGATACTCGGCCCGGAATCTTCTTTAGTATTTCTGCTCCAAACAACACAAAAAGTTTATCAATAGCATTTTTAATCTGGTCCTGTTGTGACCTGAAATTCAAAGGGAAAAAAGCAGGTTAGAAGCTTCTAAGGTTCAAGTGCACAAGAGTCTACAAAATGAATTCTGTTATTTCTTTTTTTTTTTTTTTTTTGAGACGGAGTCTCGCGCGTGGTGTCACCCAGGCTGGATGCAGTTGAGCGCGGATCTCGGCTCACTGCAACTCTGCTCCAGCGTTCACCGCCATTTCTCCCTTGCCTCGCCTCCCGAGTGCTGGGAACTACAGGCGCCCCGCCACCCTCGGCCGGGCTAGTTTTTTGTATTTTTTAGTAGAGACGGGTTTCACCCTATTAAGCCCAGGATGGTCTCGATCTCCTGACCTCGTGATCCACCCG